GTTTTCTGATGAAGGGTCTAGGCCCAAAACGTCAGCCTTTCTGCTCCTATGATGCTGCTTGGCCTGCTGTGTTCATCCAGCCCTGCACCTTGTTGTCTCTTATATTTGTATAACACCTTTTACATCCTCAAGGTTATTAAGGATGCTTTTTGTTAAGTATTTGCGGGATGTGAGGGTTGCTGGCAAGGATAGCCCTTGCTAGCAGAGGGGCAGAATGTATAAAGTGGCAGATATGGCATTGATCAAACAGGTTGCTTTGCCTTGAGTGTTGTCAAGCTCCTTGAATTTTGGATAGCACTTATCCAAGCCAGTGGAGTTTTCCATCACACTCCTGACTTGTGCCTTTTGTTTGGTGGACAGACTTTGGGGATTCAGGAGGATGTGTCTGGTCTGTTAAGTGTGTCCACACGGTTGTGTGCTTCAACACTGCACATGCTCAAAGGTTGATGATTCAGATTATGGAACTTACAGCATCGGGGATTCAGACAACTGAGGACACAGGACCAGCAGCACAAACAGGGGACGTTCCAAGAAACCCATCAGTTGAACATCCTGGAGGACATTCAGACTGTGCTCTTGCTACATTCAGTGCTGCTTCCCAAGCGGTGTTGAATATGGAGGAGCACTGATTCATCAACTGGGTGAAGATGAGAGATGTCAATCAGTAGGAAGTTCCCTTATCCTTGTTTGGCTCGGTGCCATATACTTTCCATAAAACTGTATACAGAATGGGCCCTTTCTCTTGCGCCACTTTTTATTTACTGGCAAGCAGAGTCATGTAGACTTTTACACAAGTAGACTGGGTGATTTAGTAAAATTAGATCACATGGGATTCAGGGTGAGCTTGCCAATTGGAGGCAAAATTGGCTTTAGGGTAGGAGAGAGAGGGTGGTGATGGAGAGTTGTTTTTCGGCTTGTGACCAATGGTGTTCCACAGGGATCGGTGCTGGATCAAGTGCTTTTTGTCATTTATGTGAATGGTTTGGATGTGAATATAGGGGACACGGTTAGTAAGTTTGCAAATGACATCAAAATTGGCAGTATAGCGTACAGTGAAGTAGGTTATCTAAGATTTCAAAGAGACTTTAATCAATTGGGTCAATGAGCTGAGGAGTGGCAGATGGAGTTTAATTTGGATAAATGTGAGATATTGCATTTTGGTAAAACAAACAAGGGCAGAACTTATACAATTAATGATAGGGCCCCTGGTAATGTTGAGGGCTAGAGAAACCTAGGGGTTCAGATACATAATTCATTGAAATTTGTGTCACGGGTAGACAGGGTGATTAAGATGTTCAGCACACTTACCTTCATTACTCAGACCATTGAGTATAGGAGTTGGGAGTCATGTTGAGGTTGTACAGCAAGTTGGTTAGGCTTCTTCTGGATGTTGTTGGACATGGAAGGCTTGAGTTATGGGGAGAGGCTGGATAGGCTTGGACATTTTTCACTGGAGCAGGAGATTAAGGGATGATCTTATTGATTTTATAAAATCATGAGGGGCATAGATAAGGTGAATGACAAGGGTCTTTTTGCTAGGGCGTGAGACTTCAAAACTAGGGGGCATATTTTTAATGTGAGAGGAGAAAGATTTAAAAAGGACCTAAGGGGCAATCTTTTCACATAGAGTGTTTCGTCTGTGGAATGAACTGCCAGAGAAAGTGGTGGATGCAGGTAGAGTTACAATGTTTAAAAGACATTTGGATAAGTTTATGAATAGTAAAGGTTTGGAAGGAAATGGGCCAAGTGCAGGCAGGTGGGACTAGTTTAGTTTGGGAACATGGTGGACTGGTTGGACTGAAGGGTCTGTTTTCATGCTGTATGACTCTATGACTCTATGGGCCAGATAGGTCTTTTACAAAAATCAATCATAGTTTCATGATTCCCCCATTATGGGACTAGTTTCTAATTTATTAGTTGAGTTTCAATTTCGCTACCTCTTGTAATAGGATACAACCTCATGACTCAGAGCATTAGTGTGGGTATTCGGATTACCAGCCCAGTGACATTACCACTACACCATCCTCATGTCTGGGGGGGAAGTCATAGAGTGGTTTGAAACAAAGAGGATAATTTTAAAATTGAGGATTGGCAAAATAAAGTATGAAAAGATGCCTACCAATCCCAGATAATTACTTCAGGATACCTCAATGTTCCAATGTATTCAGGTCCTTTGAATATAGAGTATTGTCTGTTAGATTATTTTACACACTTTTTACAGAGATTCCATGGTTTCTACTACTCCTATTTACTGAACGAGTCATTGACAAAGTACCAAGAATAGATTGTGGCCATTCCCCTCTCAACAAAGTTCATTTCTTCATAGCTACCATTGTTAGCATTTTGTGGAGCAGACTGGTCCCACCATCTCATGTATCATTTCTCTGTTTTTCTTCAATAATCAGGCTGCTGCAAGACATTGCTTTGCTGTAACACACGATGATGGTATGTGTCTAAACAAAGTGAGTGTGTTAGTCTACACATGACAAGATGGCAGCAGGGGTAAGTCTCTCCTTTCGGAGCTCCACACTGCTCGCCAGTTCCCTTTCTCTTTCTTTGTTTGTCCTTCCTTTTTTGTCTCTCCCTTCGTCTCTCTCCCTCCATAGTAATTCTATCACCACCCACCCCCAACCCTTTTAACTACCTACCTAAGGAGGTGGGAAGGAGCTGGGTCACGACCGGGAACCATGTGGCAGGAGCTGAATGTGCGGGTGGATCAAGAGTGGGCTGGCGAGAATGGGCCAGTTGGGCAGCAGAGGCGAGAATGGGCCAGTTGGGCAGCCCAGAGCGGGGCTCTGGCAGAGGCATGGCATGGACTGGAAAGCCCAGAGTGGGACTGCAGCAGTGGAAAGGAAAGTTGGACACTCTTAAGTTATTTTTTTATATCTCATTCTAAGTTAATGTGAATAGGACAACAATAGTATGTGAGGCGAAGGTACATACTTTTCACTGTATTTTTACATTGAATAAATGTGACAATAAATGATTCAATTCAATTTAAACATTGTTCAAAGTAAGACCTGACCCATTAAAAAGAAGTTTAAATAGCAAAATTAGCCTTAGCTTAGAAAATAGAATTCTTTGACCCATAAGATATGCATATTTTATACGTTGTAACATCATGATAACTGTAACATGGGCAGGAAGTTCTCTGGTGGTTTTTGACATCAAAGTCTGGGAACCTTTGATCAAGAATGAGCTAAGTTAAAGGTTATCTAGGAAGCCACTGGGAATTTTAACTGCTAATTTCACAATCAACATTCTTTGTTTGCAACTAATGTTGTTGTCTTCCCTACGTTATCTCTAAATTAACTGCTCAGTACACATGACCCTTTACATGTATAATGGGGAAGGAATTGACAATCCATTGTAAACTGTGGTCTAGAATTGACATCATTGTTACCAGGCATTCTAGCTTTGATGCTTAATGTGATCAAGCTGATTGTCGATTGGAGGAATTTGCTCCAGCTGCAAATGAAAGACATCTTTGTAACCCTTGGACCATCTCATGCTCTTCATGTATCTATTCCGTGGCTCATGGAGTTGCACGTGGCCATTAAAAATCCAGCCATTTGCACAGCGGTAAAATCAGTCACTAACCCCATCAAGGAACAAGAGCCTGGAAAGTCCTGTGACAGCCTCCTGGTGGATTGGGAGTATAGAAGAAGAATGTCTGCATGCTGTATGCATGCATTGCTGACACTGTCCAAAAAACTTCTGAAGGTCAAAGCAATTGAAAGAGGCTGCATTTGTGGGTAGTGGCACCACTGCAAAAGTTGCAATTCAATTATTATGAAGAACTAGATTTGGATTTTTAGATTTAGCTTTTATTGTCATGTGTACTCACATACAGAGTACAAGAGTACAATGAAACATATACAACATTCCGAAACATGACCAAGTACAAAATCTCAGTTACAGAAGTAGAAAAATAAAGTGATGGGAAGTGGTGGTCAGTTAGCTCAGCTGGTTAGAGCATAGTGCCAAGAATGCTAAGGTCATGGGTTTAATCCCCATACTGACCAAGTGCATCAGATTCTAGCCACAAGTTGCACACTCTGCATCCTGACTGGAGGCTTGCATAGCAGTCTCTCCTTTTGGGCCAGCACAGTGGTTAGCACTGCTGCCTCATAGCACCAGGGACCTGGGTTTGATTCCACCCTCGGGCGACTGTCTGTGTGGAGTGTGCACATTCTCCCTGTGTCTGTGTGGGTTTCCTCCGGGTGCTCCAGTTTCTTCCCACAGTCCAAAGATGTGCAGGCTAGGTGGATTGGCCATGCTAAATTGCCCATGGTGTTGAGGGATGTGTAGATTAGGTGGGTTATAGGGGGATGGGTCTGGGTGGGAAGCTCTGAGGGTCAGTGTGGACTTGTTGGGCCAAAGGGCCTGTTTCCACACTGTAGGGATTCTATGAGTTCAGCACTACAGTCCTCATAATATAAAAGAGGAAAATAAAGTTAAAAAGTAAAATATTACAGTCCTTTCTTAAGCTGTCAGCCTGCAGGCACTCAGGGATGGGCTTTCCCCAAGAGGTCTCACCATCTCCTGCACTGGGCATGCTTTCCCATGCTGGGCTAGGACACACTTGTATTTGCCAGCTGCCTTCGCCATCAACAGTCACTGCCAACCTCCATCGGGCACACCAGGCTTCGCCACCACTCGCAAGGCATCATCCCCGACCATTGCCTCACTGCTGACTGCCGCTGACACCAATCAGGGATATGTGACATTTTGAAAGGACAGGCAGGAACGAAAGGATGGCAGAGTAGCTTTGTCAGTTCACTGTGCACAACAATGGAGAGTGTGGATAGGTTGGGACCTTTCTCCCTGGAGTGTTGGAGGCTGAGGGGTGACTTTATAGAGGTTTATAGAATCATGAGGGGCATTGATAAGGTGAATAGCCAAGGACTGCCCAGGGTAGGGGAGTCCAAAACTAGAGGGCATAGGTTTAAGGTGAGAGGAGAAAGATTTAAAAGTGACCTCAGGGGCAACTTTTTCACACAGACGGTGGTGCGTATGTGAAGAAGTGGCAGAGGCGGGTACAATTACATTTTTAAGACATTTGGGCAGGTACATGGATAGGAAAGGATTAGAGGGATATGGGCCAAATGCAGGCAAGCGTGACTAGTTTTATTTGGGAAACCCGGTCTGTTTCCATGCTGGATGACTTTATGATTCTGAATCCAGCATTGCTACTACTCCCTCCCAATACAACCCCATACTCTCACCCTCATTGCTGTTTCATCACTAAGCCACACAGTTTAGCCTGACCCATCCTGTCTGAACACTCTCGCTAAGTCACTGGCATGCTTGTCGTCACTGCTTACTGTAGATCTGAATCTTGTCATTGTCAAGCAGGAGAACATCAGATCAGCAATTGGACAATTCCAAACATGAGATTTTATTTACAGCCAGGAAAATGACTAGAGGTTGCAGATGGTTCCCACAATGCAAACTAACTGCTGCCATCATGTGCAATGACTATTTTACACTCTATGATAGTCTGCTGCAATAGGCCTAGGATTATAAAGATATACTGCCATTGGAGGCAATCCAGATACAGTTCAGGAGGTTGATCCCAGGCATAGATGGATTCTCTTATGAGGACAGATGGAGTAGATTGGGATTGTACTCATTGGCGTTGAGAAGAATGAGAGGGGACCTTATTAAAATATGTAAGATTCTTAAGGGGGCTTGACAGACTGGATGTGGAGAGGATATTTCCAATTGTGGGAGGGTCTCAGACGAGATACACATAATCTCAAAATAAGGAAAGACCCACTTAAGACCAAGGTGAGAAGAAATTTCTTCTTTCAGAGGATAGTGAGTCTGCGGAATTTCTCACCTGAAGGGCTGTCAAGACTGTTGTGTTAAATATATTCAAGATTGAGCTTGACAGGTTTAAATGAGTAAGGGAATCAAGTGGTATAGGGAAAAGGGCAGGAAAATGAAGTTGAGGATTACCAAATCAGCCATGATCTCATTGAATGATGGACCAGACTCTGTGGGCTGAATGGACTACTTCTGTTCCTATGTTCCTTATGGTCACAGCTTTCAATATAAAGTGTAAATCAATTCAGCAGCCTCTCCCATTGTTAGCAATGAAGTGTCGAAAAGCAAACTCTGAAATGATGATATAAATGTTTTTGAAGATGAATGATGTCTAGTGGGTAGCCAGATACACGGTGCTAAAAGTTTCCTAGCAAATTTAAAAAGGACTGAAATATTTTCTCCCTCAACCTTTGCTGGATGTTGTAATTTGACTGGGAGGAGGGAAAACACATGTAAGATAAATTCTGAAAATCATATATAAACAATCTTTATTCATCCAAAGAGAGGCGAGCCAGTGAAAGATAACATTGAGTGCTTTCAAGAAGAAGATAAACTTAGCTCTTAGAGATAAAGAGATAAAAGGGTATAGGGGAGAAAATGCTGGAGCTTGCTCGAAGGCCTGAATGGCCTACTCCTGCTCCTATTTTCTGTGTTTCTACGTAACTCCTGCTGTCAACTGCCTATACAACTGAGCAGCTGGATCACAGCAGCAGTTTTTGCATTCGGAACCCACACTCTGATTTGAATTTCATGGGTACAATCTTCAGTGTAAACTTGGGTTCCATCCTCGGTGCTGGGAATGGAAGGGATATTGTTGCAGCACTTTCTTTCTGTGTAGGATGAGTCACTTTTCTGAGTAGGGATCTTTGCAAACGTTTTATTTTTTGCGTTCAATTTAATTTTAAATTTAACTTGTGCCAATGGGCAATGTCCATGGAGGAATAAACAGACACCTCGTTTCGGTATCTGGTGGAACGTTGAATCAACCATTGAAAAAATATCCAGCATAGTGTCGCAACTTATTTCTTCCCCAGATAAGGTCAGCTTTGTCATTGCCAGTGTCTAGGTTTTTCAAGGGTCATGTCTCACCGAGATCTTGACAAGCGAATGCAGAAGAACAATACACTTTTCCAAAGTGCATACAGTAATGTCCCACCTTTAAATACATTCCCAGAAAACCTCATTGATGGTGAAATTATGCATGGCAAACATGTTTTATAATTGGATACAACTGGATAGTTCTAACCGTCTCAAATTTTGATATTTACAAACACCATTTCAGTAAATAAAAGTCATATTCCAACTCTGAAAGACAAATCTCAGCTGTAGGCTGGTTGCAAATTGCTGCTAACGAACATCAGGTTAGTTGGATAGCTGCACTCCCAATGGAAACATTTAAGAAATTTGTTATTTTGTCAGAATTCAGTAAAGTCTAACAGCAAATGTTGTCTTACCCTCGTTCCCCCTGAAGAGGAAATCTTATGTCTCATGATCTGGCCAGCTCACAGAAGGGCCTAGATACTGCAGGGATGCAGAATAGCTCAGTCCCAGAAAGCCAGTTCTCACATGAAGTGATTGTGTCTGGTGGAAAATAAATCTTGACAGAAAGAGTTGATTTTAGACATCCCTCAATGTGAAATAGTTGGATGAAACTATTTACTCGGGTGTTATATCCTGAAACAACGGCAGATAACTGAACATTGACGCAATGTGCGCTGGATGCTGTCCTTGGTTATGCAACTTTGCAAATGGCATGACTTTACTGAAATAATGAGGTACAGACAATCCCCTGGGTTGCGACTGGTCCCCACTCCGGACTCAGTTCGCAAGTCGATTTGTACATGGCATTATTTTACAGTGAAATAATAGGAGGTTTTGAGGAGATTTGAGGAAAAGCTCTTTCACCCAAACACTGGTGGGAGTCTGGATTGGGGGCACTGCCTGGGAGAGGAGTTGAGGCGGGAAATCTCACAACTTTATAAAAGTACTTGGATGAGTGCCATAATAGTCGAAGCTATGGGGCTTGTCCAGAAAAGTGGGACTAGTGTAAGTTGTAGTATACTTTTGGCACTACAGACTTGATGGGCCAAAGGGCCTCTTCTGTACTGAATGAATCTATGATTTTCTATGAATCTATGCATATTGGAACACAATGCAAGACAATGTAAAGCAGCTGTTCATAATTAGAGGAAATGTTTGTACGTCGGGTCTTTAACATTATACTCCTAAACAGTAACATGTTCATAGGTACATGTGTTTGTAAATCAGAGACCCCCTTTGTAGCATTTTGCCAATTTCCTTTTGCTCCCATTAATTACTTGTGAGTAAATCTGACGCAGTTGCCTGGTCTATATGAGGTGGCCCAGAGATGTGATATTTTTATCATCAGAGATCACATTGGCAAACCCAGAAACAACTCAGTGCCATCAGGACTCTTTGTTATGTAAAAACATAGAAGATAGGAGCAGGAGCAGGCCATTCAGCCCTTCAAGCCTGGTCTAACATTCTTCACAATCATGGCTGATCGTCCAACTCAATAGCCTAATCCTGCTTTCTCCCCATAATCTTTGACCCCATTCACCCCAATTGCTATATCTAGTCGCCTCTTGGATATGTACAATATCTAGGCATCAATTAGTTCCTGTGGTAATGAATTCCACAGGCTCACTACTCTTTGGGTGAAGAAATGTCTCCTCATCTCTATACTAAGTGGTCTACCCCAAATCCGCAGACTGTGACCCCTGGTTCTGGACACACCCACCATCGGGAACATCCTCCCTGCATCTACCCTGTCCAGTCCTGTTAGAATTTTATAAGTCTCGAGGAGACTGAACTCTAGCGAAAACAATCCCAACCTAGTCAATCTCTCCTCATACGTCAGTCCTGTCATCCCCGAAGTCAGCCTGGTAAACCTTTGCTGCACTCCCTCAAGACCAAGAGCATCCTGCCCCAGAAAAGGAGATGAAAACTGCACACAGTATTCCAGGTGTGGTCTCACCAAGGCCCTGTATAACTGCAACAACACATCCCAGCTCCTGTACTCGAAACCTCTCACAATGAAGGCCAACACGCCATTTGCCTTCTTTACCGCCTGCTGCACCTGCATGCTTATCTTCAGTGACTGGATTCACAAGGATACCCAGGTCCCGCTGCACACTCCCCTCTCCCAATTTACAGCCATTCAGGTAGTTCT